TAGATTAGCACATAGGACGCTTTTTTCCGGGAAGTGGACCAGGGACCGATCTATTCGAGAAAATCGTATTTATCATCCGATTTGCTTAAAATTTGGTGCGTAGGTAGGTTTTTTCCCAGATTAGCATATAGGATATTTTTTCCGGGAAGTGGACCAGGGCCCGATCTATTCGAAAAAAATCGTAGTTATGGTCCGATTTGCTTAAAATTTGGTCCGTAGTTAGCTTTTTGCCTAGATTAGGTTATAAGATTCTTTTTTTCCGGGTAGTTTCACTTCTTCTTCTTATCCGCCATGTTAGCTATCTGACAGAAAACGTGTTTCGTATTTTTTGTTGTACTAACTTTTTCAAAAAAAGTCCAGCTTTTGACGTTGGAAAAATAAAACAAATGAAAGCCAAACATATAAGTAGAGAATTTTTCTAATATTTTTAAATCATTTTCTTCATAACTGCTGCTTCCGTGGATATTGCAACACATGGAACATACCACAGAATTTATCGGCCGCCTATTTAAATAGTAGGGCTCGCTTGAAATATGTACATGAAGATGTACACCAACTTAATCGTTCCGACCAATTAGTTGTGGTGCAATGGAAAGAGTAGCAAGCCCAACATAAAACATTTTAAACAAGAAATATTGCAGTCACATTTTCGTTTTTAGGATTTTTATTCATGTGATTAGCAGTGGCAAGAATGTATGTATGTATTAAATACGTATATCTATGTATATAAAAATGGTGTGAAAAATGTATAGTAATTCATCAATTGAGAACAGTTGGGCCGATTTAGCAAAATTTTTCTTTTAGTTGCTCGCAATTTCCAGACGATTTTTACGATAGAAAATTTTTGGAAAACTTTCCGGGAAAGTCGGGAAATTGGAAAAATCGAAAATTGTTTTTTTTTTGTATGGAACTTTTTGCGCATTTACTTCGGGCTGGCTTTCGAATGGTAAAATAGAAAATTCTGGAAAAATCGGAAAAATCCAGAAGACCGCGAAATATTTGAATTTTTTTCGACGAAATTTTGTATTTTATCGCATGATTTGATGATTTTGGACAATGTTAAGGTGGCAAATTCGTTGTGAAGCTTGGAAAATTTCGGATAATTGTGAAATTCATTGTGAACATGAATCAATTGGGAACAATTTTCTCCTAAATATGTTTCATAACCGATTCGAATGGTTGCTGCTTTTTTGGAAAGGTGTTAAGGAGTGCACAAAGTTTTAATTTTTCCGATACGTGGGGCAGGGGTCGAGCTACGCTAAAAAATGCATTTGGTACGTAGGTAGCCTTTTGCCTAAATTAGCATATAGGATCCATTTTTCCCGTTAAGTGGGCCAGGGACCGATCTATTCGAAAAAGTCTTATTTATGGTCCGATTTGCTTGAAATTTGGCACGTACGTAGCGTATTGTCAGGGTTAAAATATAGGATACTTTTCCTGATAGGTGGTCCAGATACCGATCTATTGGAAAAAATTTTATTTATGGTGCTATTTGCTTGAAACTTGGCACGTAGGTAGCTTATTGTCAGGGTTAAAATATTGGATACTCTTTTTCTGATAGTTGGACCAGGGACCGATCTATTCCAAAAATTCTTATTTATGGTCTGATTTGCTTGAAATTCGATACTCGTATTATAGATATGCGTAGAATAGAATTCAGTCATTGTTTTACAGTTCGAAAGGTGTTTGAAGGCGCCGCAAACATGCGGGTATTGGCTATTTAACAATAGTTATTACACACGCCAACAAAAATAGAAACAAATTTGAAGCAGCTAATGTTAACGCTGTTTTTGACGTAAGCATAAAGTTTCCGTCAGCTCCAGATTTTAAGAAAAACAAGGTCAGTGTCAAAGAATCGCGATTTTGCAATATTTGAGAAGCTTTAGCAAAGAAACAGAGGGTGGTAGAACCTCCCACTTAGGTTTAGATTAAAGAAAGAAAATCTCGGCTACTATCCGTGCAAATTCCTGCACCTTTGCTTAATGGTCACTTATAGTTATTTTTTGAACAGGAAAAAACTGATTTTGGGAAGTTTGAGTACCTACCGCAATTAAGCAAAATTCCACTTAGGCTTAAATTAAGGCTTGGACTTCTGACTTCAATCCCTGAAAATACCATTCCTGCACCTTGACCCTGCGGTGCTTGCTTTACGTTGACTAAACAGAATGTGGATCAATGATACTCACCAGTTTGGAAATTGCCACCAACTAGACTATACAGATTCAAGAACGATTCACTATCGAGCCGCGAGGACTTCTTCTTCATCAGGTTATTTAAGACGGTAATGGAGGATAGCCTTCTGTCGACCACAAAACCAAACGTGAACGTGAATTGCTGGCGAAAACGTTGGACCAAATATTTCAATAAAAGAAATTAATTTTGGGCGGGACGAAGTTCGCCGGGTAAGCTAGTACTATATATATTTTCCTTAAATATCGTTTACCAAAAATTTGTTTTAAAAAATGGTTATAGTAAATACGTCGTAAAAAAGCTATTAGAATTATCTTTGAATTGGATTCAATACTTTTCTCATCGGTCAAGTCGTTTCCGAGATATTTAACATATAAGAAATAGGAAAGTTGAAGTTTAACCTGTTATATTTTCTTTGTTTTTTACTTGCCCCAAATAATTTGGGTATGGTCAGCGTGAAAAGTTCTATCGATCTGTATTTTTGGTTTTTTTTGTAGCTAAACGGTCCGTATTGTAGCTAGTAGCTAGAATCAGCTGTTCGTATGGCAAACGAAATCAAAATTGCGAACATGTTGGCAAATACATTTTCGTTGTCAAATGCTGCCACATCAGCGGCGAGGGCCGTTTTCATTTGGATGTCATTTTATATGAGCGTGCGTGGCGATATATGACAACAAACGCAAACGACACCGGATGATAACCCGTTTTCATTATTTTGACAACATTTGTCGTCAAATATGTCCTAATGAAGACCAGTAGTGCAATTCACTAACTTTTAACGATACGATTTGTCGAGGTCTAATATAACGATTTTTGTGGTTTGCAGTAACGATTGTGTTATTCGGTAACTCTTTTTTAACGACACTAAACAGCTGACATTTTCTTTTTATTTCAATACAAGAAAGGTGGCATCACAGCTTAACGAAACGTCAAAAAATGCGAAAAGCACAAAGAAGAATGACGAAAAACAAATAAATTCTTTGCTTGCAAAGTGGTATACACATAGATTTCTGAATATTTTAATATACTTTTACAAAAAGTAAGTAAAACAAAACGTTTATTTATTTTGTATTATTAGACATAACCATTTTCGCATATTATAGAATGGCTTCGTCAGTACCCAATATTCAAAAGAGAAGCCGGACCACAGCAGAACAACTAAGTCGCATGGTGGACTTTTTGACGGAAACGCCGGGATTGGCAGGATCAAGGTTCCAGAAGCTTCATGGAAAATCGGACTGCGACAAGAAGTGGAGTGAACTAGCGTCAATGCTGAATAGCCTTGGTGGTTCGGTGAAGAACGTCGACCAATGGCGCACAGTATGTAAAAGTTGTTTAGTAATTTAATACCACGTTTAAAATTTTGTTTTGCAAATAGGTATGGAGGGATTTGAAGAGCCGTACTAGCATTAAGGTGCGTGATAGGAAACGAAAGCAGGCAATGACGGGAAACAATCCCATTAATGAAGAGCCACCCACTGAGCTTGAGAGGCGTGTGATTGCTCTTGTCGGTAGCGACTATGTGCAGGGCCATGAAACTGTTGCTGAAAGTGTGCCAGTGGAAGAGGTAAAAAGCAAATAAATAGTTATGAATAGCACAGCAGTTAACAATTCTTCTCATCATTAGGAACTCCAACTGCGTATGGAAGAGGGTGATGAAAGTGTAATCATCGAGATGCCATCTATTTCTCACGAAGTGAGCATTGAGATGTGCACATCGACTCCTGTAACTCCTGCAGGAAAAACGCCACGTAGAGGAGCCAAAAGAAGGCGTGTGGACGGTGGTACCGAGGCCCAAAAATCGTTTTTGGAAATCGCTCAGACCCAAGCAAATGCCTTAAAAGTAATTTACTTATTTGTAACTTTACATAAGTAAAATATCATGACATAGTTTTTTCGGTTCTTTTTCAACAGGTTTTGCAGAGTCGAGTGCAGCGAATGTACAAATAGCAAGTAGACAAGCAGATGCTTTGAAGGTAATTTTTTGTATATACTAAAAAATAGTATTACATTCGTATGCCCTTTCAACAGTTGTTAGCTGAAACAAGTACGGCGAGTGTGCAGGTAGCGAAATCGTTGGCCGAAGCTATGACCACAATGGGGGAAGGTTTAAAGGCATGTGCGGATGCCTTTAATAATTTAAGAAACGCTATCTACCGCATGTAAATATTGTGTAAATATGTAGTTTTTGAAGTATTTTTTGTTTTAATATTTATATTAGTTTTAAGCGTTTTAAATATAAGTTGAAGTTCTTTTTTGTTTTTATATTTATGTTAGAGTTAAGTTTTCATTTGATAGAGCATGAAGTTCCTTTTTTTTGTATTTATGTTAGAGTTAAGTTTTAATTCGACATATCATGAAGGTAACTTTTTACATTTAGAATAACTTTTAAAGATATTCGAAGATGAATTTTTACATATTTGAATTGATCTTTATTTGTTTTAAATAAGCGAGTTATTTGAAGTTCTTTTGATTTTCAAATGAATTCAATGTTTACAAATTTAGTTGATAGAGAGGTATACTGTACTTACTGCATGTAAGATATACCACATATATTTCTTATATACAATAAGTAATGAAATTTAATTTTGTGAATTTTTGTTTTAATTTTGTGATGCGCCTGTAACTTGAACGTGCCACACCATATCATATTATAGAAACTGATCTGTGATTACATACTGAGATCTGTCTTTTGATGAACCCTATATTTAATGAATATTTATATATATAATTCTAGACTTAAAAAAAATTTACTCAAATTAAAGACAAAATAAGACTGAGTTTTTATTTATGTACATAAAAATGTTTAATAAAATGCCAAAATAATTTTATTGTACTCCTTCTGAATTTTTATTAATCAACGTTTTATTCATGTAAAATAATTTGCAATTAGCCGGTCTTGGACGCGTTTTGCTGTTGAAGACGGCGCGTCTTGATTTACATTACTGCTATGTGTCCTTGGCTCTAGGAACTCAGTCTCGGGATCGTATGTTTGGTCACCCAATCGCAAGTTATGCAACACTGTGCAAGCATTTACTACTTTTCCAGTAAATCCAGGATCATACAAAAGAGTCCTTTGCTGAGATAAGCATCGCCAAGTTCCTTTGAGAACGCCAAAAAGTCTCTCGACTGGGTTTCGAGCTTTGCACAATGCCTCATTGTAGCGGAATTTAGGACTCCCTTCTGGTTGGTTTGGTAGAGGAGTCATCAACCACGGCTCCAAAGGATATCCTGAGTCACCTGCAAATATATATTGGACATTTTCAATTAAATTGATTTTAATAAATAAGTTTCAGTGGATTTAAAAAGTTACCAATCAAAAACACGTTATGGTTTCCATTTTCAAAACTTCGCTGCATAACTCTCCGGACTGCAGAGGAGCTCCAAATAAATGAATCGTGTCGCGCTCCTGGGTATTTAGCATTGACAGCCAAAATCTTTAGATTTGGATCACATATCTATATTTGTATAAAATAAAATTAATACTCAGTAGTTTAACCCTTGAGCAAATTTTACTCTTACCATTTGCACATTGATAGAATGGTATCCATGGTGGTTGACATACGCTTCTTCATGATGCTTTGGGCTCATGATTGACACATGAGTGCAATCGATAGCCCCAATAGTACCTCCTACAAATGGTGCGGATGCTGAGGCGAAAATTTATTTTGCAGCTTGCCGCTCTATTTGGGTCATTGGAAACCTAACCTTTGCCAAAAACATGGTGCGGTTTATTGCATCCGTTACGCGATGTATACAGCGACTTACGGACGACTGGCTCATGGATATCCCCCATTGCTCTCCGACTGGACGTTGATAACAGCCAGTTGCGAAGAATCGCAAGGCAGTTAGAACCTTTAAAATTTACAAAATCATTTAAAATTTAAAAATACTTGAAAATTACATTATTTACCTGTTTCTCTGTCGTTATCGCAGTTATTCTTCGACCCCTTAATTGGCTATCAAGCTGGGAAACAATATCTTCAACCAAGTCTGTGGTTAATCGGTAAAGGTTACGAAACTCAGTTGCAGCCAAGTCGAAAGGGTTGTCCACTTCTCGAAGCAAACGTCTATCCACTGATGAAGAGCTTATTATCTCCTCATCTTGGGATAAAACGTATGCCAAATACTCAAATGCCATTTTTAACAAAAAGTTTTTCTTTTATATATTACTTAAGTAAATTCGCGATCTATATTATTTTATTTTAACTCAAATGAAATATCAAATTTTCTTTTGTCGATGCCGCTAACAACTTCAAAATATTCGTCGTTTACTTAACGAGTAATCGAGTAGTTAACGACAACAGCTGATCAAGCGATAGCGAATATCGTTAAAATATGTTTAGCGAATTGTCAAATCGTTAAAATCGTCGTTAAGTTTTCTTAACGATTCGATAATCGTTAAAATAGAATGGCGAATCCCACTACAGGCTTTATAGTTTTTAGCCATGATTCAATAATACAAGGTTCGATAAACTGACAGTTGTCTCTCTCGCACCGCTCCCTTAGCAGTGTCACCCAGTGTTGCCGCGCCGTCTCAAGAAAATGTATCCCTGACCAAGCCAAAAATGTATCCAAATGTATCCAATTTTATTTTTTTACATATACATCTCATAATTTGTAAGAAAACCAAACTTTTTCATGAAAAATACATAATTTAACCCATCCTAAGGCCTTGGAATACATGTGCATAAAATCAAACATTTGTAATTTCAATTTATAAAGTACATTTTTTGTGCATAAGTATTTTGCAAAGTAAACATAATAAATAGCAAGTACACTCTAAAAAGAGCATGTAAAACTACTACTGAAAAGTATCTATTTTTCAACAAGAATCTCTATAAATATACGTATAGGATGTTCAGTATTTGATTTTGAACTTGAGATCATTAAAATATGCACATAAATACACATATATAGAATGTTTAATATTGCAAAAATTTTCAAACTACAAATAGATTTCCTACTAATAATAAACATTACTTTATTTTAAACATTTTATGTGTAAAAGTAAACAGGCAATGATTAATTTTATTACACGGCGTCCAAATTTGCACACATTAAAAGAGGAATCTGGTTACCTCTCTCAATATGCGCAAATAACCAAAATTTTTTCAGTAAAATCATAAAAGTTTCCTTAAATAAATAAAATTTAGTTTTTTAAACTACATTGAAATCTTCTTTCTTTTTAAATTAACAAATGAAAATATGTGATATGAAAGAGATTACTACAGAAAGAGTATAATTTACTTTATATATATCGTCGTTTAAAGTACAAAACCGCGTGTCGTCAATCTGCATAACCGCGTAACTGACGTTTGCTGCCAAAAATTGGATTTGCTCACACAAGCTCTTGGCTCAATCCTTAAGCGAAGCGCACATTGGCGCGATTCTGTCGTTGCGAATCCGCAAGCCCAAAAATTACAACAATGCTACCCATACATTTTAATGCGCTAGCGCACACTTGCACGATTCCGTCGCTGCAAATTTTTCGAACATTCAATGTTCTTCTCTATTGACGCGTTCGAAACGCGGCTTGCAGCGTTTTGAAGGCGTCAAAGAAGAAGAAGAAAGGTGTCACAGCAATAAAGGCAAAGAAAAAAAAACGTGTAATGTACAAAAACTAATAAAAACGTTCGTAATAATAGTATTTTGTACGATTTGGGCACGCCGAGTGCGAAAATACACGAAATAAAGGGAAAATTGAGTGAATTGTACATCGGAAATCGACGCGAAAAAATCGCTCAAGTGTGCGCACGTTTGCGGATTCGAAGTTAACAGCCGAATTCGCAACGTATTCGCAACGACAGAATCGCGCCAATGTGCGCTTCGCTTTATCCATTCGTCCTGAAATATACTAGCCAGAAGTGCGATTGCTTTATAAAAAAAGAACCATTTTGAAATATAAGTGTTTTTACTCTCTAGAAAATAATTTATGCAACGTCACATACGAGGTTTTGCATTATCTTGATACGAGGTTTTGCATTTTGTTGATACGCGGTTTTGTACTTTAAACGACGATATGTTTATTAAGATCTTGCTTAAAGCATCCTTTTAAGCTAATTAAGGCAATTGCGCGTTGTAGTGCTTTCAAAAACTTATATTTTCGGTAAAGTTTAGTTCCAATTAAATTTTTAATGTTTAACAAAAATACATTTTTAACTATACAGCAAGATGAAAAAATTTGAAGTGAAGAAAAATTTTCATTTTGATTTCCATTTACAAAAATAACTTAAATCAAAAATTTTCAAAATTAACAAAGTTAAAAAATGAAGCAAGTATAATAAAAAGTATGAACCCTACAATACTCCCCCTTCCAGAGAATCATTATGATATAAATTAAAAGTAACTTGTTTCTTTTTAGTCGTTGTTGAAAATGTGTGATTGTTAGTGTTATGTGATTGTGTTCTTTCAACTACCGCTGGCTTTAATCTATCAATCGAAATAGTTTTAATTTCGTTATTTACATCTACCTTGAAATATTTCTTATCTTTTTCAATAACTCTGTAAGGTCCTTCATACGGATGTTGAAGAGAATGCTTGTTAACGATGCGAATGAAAACAAATTTACACGTTTGTAAATCTTTTGGAACATAAATTCCTGAATCAAATTCTTTATGATGTTTTAAATTTGAATTTACATTTTTAAATCGTTCTCGTAAACTACTTAAAATTTCGGTCGAAGTTACATTTTCTGTAGTTGGCATAACAAGTTCTCCAGGTAGACGCAAATTTTGGCCAAACATCATTTCAGCTGGAGTGGCTGCAATATCTTCTTTGTACACCGATCGTAAACCTAGAAGAATTATCGGTAGCTCATTGTACCAATCTCTAG